CCAGTCAGTAGCCACTGACCGTGAAGGTGTAAAAGCGCGTTTCGCGCCTCGAGCGGTCTGCGAGGCGCGAGGTTTACGGTCTGTTTTTGGGGGTCGCGTGCCAGTCCGCCAGTTTTGGCCCACCACTCTTCGGCGCGCCACGCTGTCCAATCGCCGGCCGCCGGACCCCAAGTGTCAATGTCCAGAGCTTTTTCCGAACCTCCCTCGGCGGAACGGAGCGACACGCTATCCGCTCTCGAGTGATAGCCTGTCGCCTGGGCCGCTGCAAATGTTCCCGACCGTACGTGACGCAGAGATGATCATATTAGAGTGCTGTCTTGTGAACGCCACGACGCGCCCGGGATTTTCTGCCCTCGATCGGATGGGCGGTACGTGCAACAGGGGCAGAAGGAGAAATTACCAGCAGAGTTACCGATTGGCACCACGCGCCTATCCACGGAGTTTCATCCGGTCTTGCATCAGAGCGGGCTCCTATGACAGAATTCGGGATCGCTGGGCGACCCTGCAGCCATGGGTATTGGCCCTGGGCGATTCTCTGCAAACTTTGAAGACCCGTCTTGCCCCTAATAGGCGGGCACTCGCGGGCAAGGTGTCGACCATCAGTGGTGGCCGTGAGCTCCCAGTCAAACAGAAGCGTGGAGCAATCTGATGACTAGGAATAACCTGACGCACCCCGATCCAAACCTCTTTCCCCAACCGTCGAATCATGACCACAGCAATAGGGAGACAACTAAACATAGCTTTCGCCTGAATTGCACGCTCTCGTGCGCACGGAGCTTCATGGGCAGACGAAGTGATTGTTTCCATACACACCTTGCACTGCCATTTGCCACAGGTGCGATCGAAGCGGGGGTGGAGGAGGCCAGGGCACGATTGCGCCTTGAAATGTGAAGCCTGGAAGGAATGCCCACGGTATCCAAAAGAGCACGGTGGGCTCGCAAGCGCATGAGCGAAGCCGTGACATCTATTTCGTCTCTGCAGGGGGCGTCTCCTACAAGAGGCCAGCTCCCATGATCTTCCCCCGTCATGCGGCTCTGCTGGCCAGCTCGCCGGCAGCACCATTGCCTTGGGCGCCAAAAACCAGATGGGCGGAAGTGATGCGACCATCTGGGGTCTCGTCGAGGCGAGAGTGGGGGCCGCTCGAAAGTGGCGTCGGCTTGGCGGGCGATAAAAGCAGCACAGGCCTTCTGGGTGCCCCCGTCCTGCCCCAGCCTGGATCCCAGGCTGGAGGAGGAGGAGGGGGAGGAGGAGGAGGAGGAGGAGGAGGAGGAGGAGGAGGAGGAGGAGGAGGAGGAGGAGGGGCAGGAGGAGGAGGAGGAGGAGGAGGAGGAGGAGGAGAGGAAAATAGGAGGGAGGCGAAGGAGGAAAGAGACGGGAGGAGGAGGATGGACGCGAGCCTCTTTCGGGAGCCCCTTGCCTTCTCAGAGGGCCTCGGCCCATTTCACACACCCCTCTTGCCCGCCGCCGGCAGAGGGAGGCGATAGGGTGCATCCCTGGCGGGGGGGCGGAAGAGCGGAGCCAAGGAGGGGCCCAATGATTCAGGGTTAAGTGGGGCATGTCCCTCTACAGGAGAAATATTCAAACATAGGCAAACTATAGCCTGGAGACGATTTCTCCATGATTTGTTTTGACTCTTTTTGCATATGGTTTGACGACTTTTTATTTTCCGCCCAACATCCGCCTGTAGGTGGACATGTCCGACCTACGTTCAGGGGTGGAGTGCGACCAAGCAGAGTGTGGATACACACGGCGAGGGGAGCCCTCTTGCAGATGGGGATGGAGGGGGGGGAGGAGGAGGCAGGCGACGCCGACGGCTGTGACAGAGACGAGGAGGGCGAGGAGCAGGCCACCCGTTGCCTCCTCCTCCTCCTCCTCCCTCGCCCCCCTAGGCCCCATCTGCCCCTCCTTCTCCTCATCGGCACCTTCTTCATCATCGTAACTCTTCTTCTGGGCTCTCTTGCACTGCTGTTGCCTCGACTCTGGTCTCCAAAGTCCCAGGGTCAGGTTTCCTCCCTCTCTTCGTCCTCCTCACGATGAGGAGGATGAGGAGAGAGGAGAAGTCTCTTCTCCTCCGCCTCCCTCGTGCTTTGCTCCGTGCTCCTCGCAGGGGGGCGGGGACGCGCAGTCGCGCTCGGGCCTTCCGGGAAGCCCTCCACCCAGCCTTTGGCGCTCTCGGTTCGTCTCCGAGCCTGCCCACCTCTCGCGTCGTCGCTTCGTCTTCCTTTGTTTTTTATTCCCAACCCTCCTGTGTTGGGCACTCGTTTTGATTAGAGCAGTGTGGTCGCCCCGTTCTTCCTTCCTTCCTTCTCCTCCCCTCTCCTCCCCTCCTCCTCTCCTGTTTCCGGTGTTCCCCTCTCCTCTTCCCTCGTGCCGTCGGGCTGCGATTTGCGTAATTGTCGCCACTTTCGTAGGCTCCTGGGAGGCCCAGCGGAGGTGGGTCCCACGCGGATCACCACGGGACCTCGCCGCCCCCTGGGGGGCTTGCGATCTGCGCAACCGTCGCCACTTTCGCGGGCTCCTGGGAGGCCCAGCGGAGGTAGGTCCCACGAAGATCACCTCGGCACCTCGCCGCCCCCTGGGGGGCTTGCGATCTGCGCAAGGTCGCCACTTTCGTGGGCTCCTGGGAGGCCCAGCGGAGGTGGGTCCCACGCGGATCACCACGGGACCTCGCCGCCCCCTGGGGGGCTTGCGATCTGCGCAACCGTCGCCATTTTCGCGGGCTCCTGGGAGGCCCAGCGGAGGTGGGTCCCACGCGGATCACCACGGGACTTCGCCGCCCCCTGGGGGGCTTGCGATCTGCGCAACCGTCGCCATTTTCGCGGGCTCCTGGGGGGCCCAGCGGAGGTGGGTCCCACGCGGATCACCACGGGACCTCGCCGTCCTCTGGTGGGCTTGCGATCTGCGCAACTGTCGCCACTTTCGTGGGCTCCTGGGAGGCCTAGCGGAGGTGGGTCCCACGCGGATCACCACGGGACCTCGCCGCCCCCTGGGGGGCTTGCGATCTGCGCAACCGTCGCCACTTTCGTGGGCTCCTGGGAGGCCCAGCGGAGGTACGTCATACGCGGGTCACCACGGGACTTCTTGCTGCGCTCTCCTGAAAGCATTGTTGGGTGCTCTTTCTGCGCGCTGCGGGTCCTTCAGAATGCCAGTCAGCATTGAGTGGTCTTGAGTATAATCGCCACATGTATAGAAAGGGTTGGGTACGTCACAGGGTAATTTGTATGCTTATTATGATCATTATTGTTATTATTCGTAGTATTATTGCGAAGGTCTGACGGCCAGTGCCGCCGACCCTGAAGAGGACCACGACGTCGGCGACGAAGTGGGCGGAGACGGAGACCGTGGAAGATGAGGGGGAGGAGGAGGCGAGGACGAGGGGGAGGAGGAGGAGGAGGAGGAGGAGGAGGAGGAGGAGGAGGAGGAGGAGGAGGAGGAGGAGGAGGAGGAGGAGGAGGAGGAATAGGAATAGGAGGAGGAGGAGGAGGAGGAGGAGGAGGAGGAGGAGGAGGAGGAGGAGGAGGAGGAGGAGGGAGGAGGAGGAGGAGGAGGGGAGGAGGAGGGAGGAGGAGCGTGGAGATGGAGGTTGGAGCAGGAGGGGGAGGAGGAGGGGGAGGAGGAGGAGGAGGAGGAGGAACAGGAGGGTGGCCGAAGAGAGGGGTCCGGCGGCGCCAGAAAGCCTCGATCCTCGAGCCTGGGGTTCGGAGTCTGCAGAGGGAGGAGAAGGAGGAGGAGGAGGAGGAGGAGGAGGAGGAGGTGGAGGAGGAGGAGGAGGAGGAGGGGGACTTGTTCTACATGCTTAGTCCTTCGTCATTTTCTTTCTCCGGGGGCCATTTTGGGGACTGGGGAGTCTCGAAACCGGACCCGTGGTGAAGAACAGAATCGATCTTTTCAAGACGCTGGAGGTCTGGGCTTCCCGAGCGCCCTGACTGCCCGTCGGTGGGCGGCGGCGGAGCCCTGTTTCGCCGCCTTTCGCAGCCCTCGCAGCCCGTCGGAAGCGAAAAGGCGAGAAAGCCAAAAACATGGGATTTCCTTATGTTTCGGGCCGTTTTCTTTAGTTTCTTTGGGGCATCCGTGGACGGCTCGGAAGATTCCTGTCGTCGAGGGCTTGTTTTGGGCATCGCGTGGGAGAGTCTTTGACGGCTGGGGGTATTTTGAAAGGCTCGTGGCATCACCTTGGGGATGTCTGTAAGCTTCCAGAACCGCGCGCGGGGAGCGCGCGGGGAGTAAAAGCGTATCTGGGTGGCAACCCCCCCCGGGACCCCCCCCGGCACATTCGCGGGACCCCCCCCCCGGGACCCCCCCGGGACCCTTCCCGGGGCCCCCCCCCCGCCGGGGAAGGGACAAAGGGAAGGCGCTTCCTTTTGACGTGGTTACGACATGGGTCGATTTCTCTTAAGCTCGCTAGAGAACTGCAACGACGACGACGACGATGACGACGAACGGCACAGCTCCTCACACACGCCGACAGGGTCGGCGGATTATCATTATTACGCGTCTTCCTCCTCCTCCTCATCCTTCTCCTCCTCCTCCTCCTCCTCGCTTTCGTCTTGATCTCCTTTCTCTCCTACTTGCCAGTGCCTCGAGTTGACTCCGCGTGAGACATACATATGTAGCGCACGTGCGCCTTCGGGCGCGTGCCTGCTTTGGTTTTCTTAGCAGGTAATCCACGCCGGCGTGCAACACTGAGCGTGTACTCGTTCCCGAGTGCGCTCAAGCCTGCTCGCTTGCTCGTCCTGCTGGCGCTCCTCCACCCAACTTGCCCCCCTCTCCCTCCCCACACCCTCTCCGCAGGATGCCATACTAGCGACAGGCTGTCACCTTGGTTTGTCATGGCACGCATGTTCCGCAAGACGTGACAGACTGGTCAGGAAGCTCGGGTGGGTCGCGTTTGCCGCATATTTTGTGCGGGGCAGTGCCGCCTCTGATATTTCGTTTGATAGGTATTTATATTCGGTGTGCAACACCGTTTTTGAATTCGCTTTCGCGTGTCAGGCCTGCTGATGCTGCTCTTCTTGTTCCCTTGGTGGCTCCTGGTTATCCTCCTCCTCCTCCTGCTCTATGTCCTCGTGCTTCTCCACGTCCGCCTCCCGCCCCTGTCCCGACGCGCAGGACAGGCTTCATCTCCCTGTGGGCGGTGCGACTGCTGTTGTGCGCCCAGGCCCGCACTGTTCACCCTTTGTCCGCGGTTGACGATGATTTCAACGCCTGGCGGTAGTCGGGCACGGATCTCGGCAAGGAAGGGGTGCGGCGCGAGGCAGAGCAGTCCAGGCATTGAAGCACAGGGCGACGAGCTCTCTACATCCACCGCCGCTCCAGGGGGTGCACATCCACCGCTCCCGGGCCCAGGAGCAGGAGGAGCCCTGGCCGGCGGCGGTTCACGCGTGTGACTCCTCGTCGCCCTGCAGCACGGTGCTTCCCGCCTGCAGCGTCCGGCCCCGCCTCCTCGCCCTTCCCATACCCGCCCCTTTTCTGCGTCGGCTCCCGCGTGCGGCCTCGCCGGCCGTGAAGGCCACGGAGGGGGCACACCGCAGCCCCCAGCATTCTCTCGTCTTTCCGAAGGGACCCCCCACAAAAAAACAAAAACAATCTCCTCTTTCTCCTCCTCCTCCTCCTCCTCCTCCGTGCATGCGATCGTGAGATCAAGCGTGCACGCCGTAGGCTGGACAGAGAGAATGTCGAGGCGCTGCTGAAGGAGGCACAAGTGGCCTCTGACCGTGGACATACCAGCGCAGTTTGGAAGCTCGCCTTTCAGATCGGGGCGCGCTATCACGGAGTGCGGAGAAGACGGTTCAACCTGATCCCAACTTACGCCCCGACGTTGCAAGAGTGGCAGGACACGCTGGAGTCCGACGCTAAGGAGGGGGGCTTCTCTGCTGTTCGTCTACGCGGACCAGGCATTCCTCGCAGCGTGGCTCTGGCTACGAGAGAGATTGAGGACCCAGATGGGGAGTGGAAGGATCTGCGAGGACGACCTGGATCGGCCGCCTACGACGACTGGACGAACACGCTGCAGTGTCTTGAGAGGGCGGCCAGGCGCAGGCATTCCCCCCCGCACTCCGCCCCCAGCGAGGTGTGGCTCATGGCGATGAGGGCTGCTACTCGAGAAGCGCGGGGCGAACCAGCTGAGGAAGATCCTCACGAGAGAAGGCAGCGAGTTCAGGTCACTTGTCCACGACTGGCTGAGCGCATCTTTGAGAATTTGAGGCAGATTCGGAATACGTGTCGCACACCCTACCAGTGGCACTGGTCAGAAACGTTCCAGTTGAGCAAGGGCAATGACAAGAGGGGCACCAAGGCGATGAGACTCATACACTGCTACTGCCCGTTCGGCAAAGCTTGGTACAGAGGCATATTTGTTCGACATGAGCGCTCAAGACTTCCATTACACGCACATGGATATGCAGCGCACAGGTCGAGGCAGAACGCGCAGCTGGTTGCTAAACTTCACTCGTGGAGATTACGAAAGAAGCTCGTCTCCCATCTGCAGATCAAAAAAGACATGAGCAACGCGTTCCCTTCGACAGATCACGACATCCTGGAGCAGGTGATTGGGGAAGTGATCCCCGACATGCAGGACCAACTCTTCTTGCACCAGAGGCATCGAGAAGCGGTCATCGAGGTGGAGGCAGGCGATGAGAAGGGCTTCTTCCAACCCACCCACGGCTCGGGCATGGGCGACGGCAACGCGTGTGAGCTGTTCGTGAGGTCGTTCGTCAAGCCGCTGGAGGCGTGGAACCAGATCCTCTTGCAGGGCACCCAGGCCACCTTAGAGACAGAGAGCGGCGGCTCAGTGCCGATGATGGAGGCGGCGACGCTGATTGACTCGCCCATCCACTCCGAGCAGATCGACATCTCCATGCGCGACTACGCCGATGACGTATCGCAGACCCTGCCGCTGCCGAATGGCAACCCCGTCCACGCAGCGGAGAGGGCAAAATTGTCGTCTCGTATCTTGTCAGATCAGCTCGAGGAGATAGGAGGGTTTACTCAGAATGTAGACAAGGAGATCATCCTCCCAGTCTTTGTGGGGCCAGGAGGATACACGGCCACGAGGGCCGTGCTCTCAGGACTCGTCCAGTTCCCAGGGCAAACTCGAGCTGAAACCGTCTACCTCGGAGGACTTGAACATTTGACGGGTGGTTCGGGGGCTGAAGTTAAATTACGTGTCGACGCTACGCGCTCTGCCTGGACCAAGCTCGGGAGGTTCTGGAACCTGCACTCGTCTTTGAAGCTTAAGAGGATGGCTTTCTTGGGAATCATCCACGGCGCGGCCTACTCGGGCCTCGAGGTCTATATCCTAGGTAAGAAAGACTATGCCAAGCTTGACTCGGTGATCTTGGGATTCGTGAAGGTGGCGATGAGGGGCGTTGCCAAGAGAGCAGGGCCAGAGGGAGATAGGATTCGGACACCTTCGGCGAGAGTCATGCACAAGTGGTTGCGCATCGCTGACTCGAGGACTGAGCTCCTGATCAGGCGCCTCGGCTACTGGCAGCGCCTTGCGGTGAACCCCGCAGACTCGGTTCAGGTAGTTGCGGCGCCCTTCGGGCACTTTTCTTCGCTGGGCGAGTCTCCGACGTTCACCCCCGACGGTTGGATTCGGTCCGGCGCTAACCCGTGGGCCTTCCAGCTCCAGCAGGATATCAAGCTCCTCTCGGTCATCCCCACTGGGGACCAGTTCCTGGAGAGAGGCTACTCGATTCGGGACATCTTCACGAACTACCGTGTCGCGTGCCACTTCAAGAGCGTGAGTCTCAAGGGTTTTCGGATGGCCTATTGGGAACAGGAACATGAAGGACCCCTTCGGCCTCCTCCTCAGCACGGGGTTCCACCAGAGGTTCCACCAGTCCCTGAAGCCCCTCCTCGAGAATACTACTGTGACCTCCCAGGCGAGAACGGGGACCCCTGTGGGCACGTCTTCTACTCCAGAGCGGCCTTGAGAGCACATCAGTGCCACCACCCGTCGCACAAGATCAGGGTCCCGATGCACCAGCTTGTGGTGACAAACCAGTGCTGCTACTGCTCCTCTACCTTCTCGTCGGTGGTGCTGGCCAAGAGGCACGTGGTACAGTCACTTCGCCGTCGCCGCTGCCTCACAGATTTCAGTGCGTATTCACCCCCCCTGGTTGTGCCCGACGACCTCCACTGTCCGATCTGCGTGGATCCAGAGTCCGCTCACGAGGCTTTCAGAGAGGGAATGGCCGAGGCCACACTGGCTCAAGAGCCGTTTCAGACCCTGCAGGCACTTCAGACACACATCCGAGAAGCCCACGCGCCACCCGCCCCCGATCTTGCGCTGGATGTCGAGCCTGGCGGAGCGGGCTCTCGCCGCTGGGACAGAACAGAGGCGACGCGATCTCGAAGGTGGGCGAGGCGATCGGACTCGGAGTGGAGACCGCCGAGGACGAGGCGCTCGGGGGGCCCCTCCGCAGCAGCGCGGAGCTGGCTCCGCGGCCGCGACTCCAGGGGCAGGTCAGCCCCCGCAGCAGCAGATCGACGTGTGGGGCGCTACCGACAACCACTACGGGTTGAGAGAGGACGACGTCAGGAACCTTCCGCCCATCCCGATCGAGCAAGTGCAGCAGATGATGCCCATCCTGATGCGCATGTCCCTCAGGCACGAACAGGCGATCAACGCCCTCGAGTCGGCCATCTTCCGTCACGTCCAGCTTCCTGCCAACCACGACGTGCCCCAGTCGATGATGCTCACGGCGAGGTACTACGGGCAGGAGGCCAGGCGCCTTCGCGAGGCGAACCAGGCCGCCCTCAAGAACGGCGACCCCGTCCCCGAGCTCGAGGCGTTGGGGATCCCTCATCCACACGCGTGGGTCGCGCTGGTGGGCGCTCTCGTGGGACAGGGAGACAAGGTGGGCCAGGCCAACGCGAGGCAGATCAAGGAGTACCAGGATCGCATGAAATCGGCACCCATTTCCAACGGCGAACTGGCCGACCAGGTTCGGCACTGCAGGCTGCAGACGACCCGCGCACAGGACAAAGTCAATATCTGGATCGAGGCCAAAGCGACAGGCATAGAGGACACGGTCGTAGCCGCTCTGGTGCAGCTAGGTGGGGTTCACAAACACGGGGCGCCTCCACGCTCCCACAACGCCAGGCTGTCGCAGATTCACCTCGACGCGCAGTAGTGGCCAGGCTGCTGGAGGCAGTGAGAGGAGAAGGGCCTGCAGGCACGCACTGCTCACCTCCCGAGCCGCAGCTCGGAGGCAGAGGGTACCGACCTTGCAGGTCCGAGCAGACAGGGCCCGCAGGCACGCACTGCTCACTCTCCGAGCTGACTCGAGAGAGCAGAGGGTACCGACCTAGCTGGTCCGACGTGGCAGTGGGGCATGCATCACAGAGGCTATCGACTGGACGGTTGGCGACTTTGACCACGCCGTTGAGGGCCACCCCTTCTCGTTCCCTGACCTTGACTACATCGCTGATGGCGGCTCCGACGGAGGGGAGATCAAGATCTCCGCGTTCCCAGAGAGCTACTCGACCTCTCACCTCGGCCACGCCTTCAGTGAGTTCGGCTACACCTGGTCCGATGACTTCGATTAGGCCGAATAATCTCGCCGTCGCTGCCGCCTCTCCCGATCTTCAGACTCCTCCTCCTCCCCCTCCGCCGATCCCTCTCACCAGAGTCTTGGGTCTTCTAGGTCTCAGAAAGCGCGAAGGCCTTCCCCCAGGGCCGTAACTTTTTAGCTTGGTGTGTTTCGGCGGCCCCCTTGGGGCCGCTCGGGCCTGCCTGAGTCGTAGTTGACTTTTATCCAAAATTCGAGAGGCGAGGATCTGACTGATAATGCTTGGCCTCCCTGCTCTGCTTTTTCTGTTTGAGCTTCGAAGTTTCGTCCCGATTTTCGTCCCACGTCCCCACGGCCGTGCCCTGCCTTTAAAGCTTGGGGCCCTCCAGCCGAGGTGGGGTAGGGTGGGCGGGAGCAGAGTGCACCTAGTGCCACGCGTGACCAGTCTATATTGAGTCACTGCGCCCTCTAGAAGCGAGTCAGTTCGGAGCTTACATTATTTTGGCTTCGGAGTTCCCCGCGTTACGGCAGGATCATCTGGCACCCTTCTGCAGAGTCGTTCGTTCGTTCGTTCTCCTTCGTCGTACCTCTCGTCCTCCGCGGGCAACGAAGACCAATGACGGGTCGAGGAGGAGCAAGAGGAACATGGAGCAGCTGACGCGGGGTTGGAGGATTAGAAGGAACAGGTCCATCCACACCAGCGGCGGCGCGCTGCGGATCTGGATAAAGCTACAGTGCTGAGATGAGGAGCACTGCGGGTTCGGACAGGGCTCGCTGCTCCCTCCGAAGGTCCTCCCACGGCTGCCCCTCCAGCTCAGATGAGGAACAGGTACCGATACCACTACCCGTCCCTCGTTCTCGCCTTTTTGGGCCTCTTGGGAGGTCCTCGTCGCCACCGCTGGATTCGCCTCGAAATCCTGGTCAGAATGCGCCCCGGAGGAGGTCCAGGGAGTAACGGTATCAGTACCTTTGGGTTTCCCCACCAGCGCTCCTTCGTGCACCCAGGAGCTGTTGGGGGAGCGCATTTGCGTCGATTAGCGTCTGGTAGTCGATGAGATGGCGCCGATTTAGCGTCGACTAGCGTGGAGTCAGTGTCGATTAGCGTCGACCAACACGGTGGTACGGAAAACTCCCAGAAGTTGCCACCGAACATTCTTCTGGCGCTACCTTAAGCATCAGGGTGAGACCGTACCCCCATTATTTGTTACCGAAGGCTCCCACATAGCGCTCCAACAGTAGGGTTGCCTGGGATGAGGATGCGGGGGGCCTGGGAGAGTATACCTATCATAGAAATCTCCGGGGGAACTTTTGCGGTCAACTCGCATAGCAAGGATGAGCGACTTTCCAAGGTTACCCTTGCATCCTTGCCCCTTCGGCCCATCTCTGGCAACTTTCGCTGGCCAGACCCACTCGAAAAACGTCGACATGGCCTTCCAAGGCCCTTGCACCCTTACCGCGCCTCCTTACTAGACCGGCTGACTGCATAGAACCCTCTGGGGAAGCCTCGCATACCCCTGTCGAAACACTTTTTCCGTCTTCGCCGCGGCAGAGGCGGTCCGCTCCAGCGTGTAGCTGTTCGGGGCAAGCGAAAGGCGAACTGTCCGGCGTGCAGGAGGAAGGAAACAAGACAACAAGACGAGGGCGGCCGCGCGGCGCGACGACAAGACGAAACAAGACGACACGGCGAAAATGCTGTGCTGCTCCCCGTCGAAACACCAGAGACCCAACTTGCGCCCGCCCGGCGCGGCGGCCGCGCGCAAGGTCTCTAGCCTCCGGGGGCGCTTCGGCGGTGGCCACTGCCGCGAGCATGCAGCGGCTCTGCACCACGACGTGGGCGCTCCGCGCCCCTCCCCCGCCTACGATCAGATTCGATGCGATCCGATTCGCGGGCTGGGATCCCGATTCCGATTCGATTCTATTCGATCCGATTCACCGGCATCGGCCCTGGCCAACCGGAGCCGCGCGCGGTGATCCGATTTCGATTCGCTTCGGGACGGTTCGCTGGCGAGTCGGTCCGTTTCCGATCCGATCCGAGTTCGCAATTCGATCCGGCTCAGGCCTGCCAGCCTCGAATTTGTCCCCATCCCCGAGGTTGACAACCCAAAATGCGATGACAAGCTGAGGGGTGCGCCCTCAGATACTACAAGTGACTCCCTAAGATCGGCATCGAGATGAGGCGATGTCACGCATAGGGACAGGGATATGCTCCAGGCTGGTACTCCCCCCCGCCCGCCCGCCCCCGCCATCCTTCCCGCTCCCATTCGGGCCTCTGGGCTCCAGGCCCACCGACAGCAACAATGTTCGCACCCAGTGTTTTGGAAGCGAGCATCTCTTTTGGCGATGCTTTCTTCCGAAAGTAAAGTGTCTCCCTCCCTTCGGGCCTCTATAGTTAAGTCGGGCTTGTCCCTCTACAGGGGGGGAATTCAAAAATAGTTTAAAAATAGTCTGGGAACTATTATTTCAGTATTTGTTGACCATCTTGGAGCATTTTTTTATTATTTTTTCGTCGAAAATTCCCTGTAGGGGGACACGCCCGACTTAACTCTATAGGCTCCAGGCCTCCAGGCCCCATGAAGTAGGGAGGCGGGGAGGAGGGAGGAGGGCCTCCAGGCTCCAGGCCTGCGGCGTGGTTGTGCTTCCCCTTCGGGCCTCTGGGGGCTCCAGCCCTCCCCTGCACGCCGGCCGTTGAACGTAGGCATTTCTTGACTCCCGGATCCAAATCCATCGTTGGCGCCTTCCTATCCTCTACATGCGGGTCGTTGAAAGTAGGCGGTTCTGGCTTCCCGGACCCCAGCCCATTTTTGGCGCCTTCCTATTTCAAGGATCGATCGGTTGTTCTTTCTTCTCTCCTCTTCGGGGGGCGGGTGGAGGCCCGATCTACTTCAACGCATTCCTAGTTGATGTTTCTACCCACTTCTTTCGACATGCGTGTGCATGAGTCCACGCTGGTTCGAAAGCGCTCATTGAGCGAACGTTCGTTTCACGAGGTTGGTCTCGCGGACTGGGAGCAGTGCTCATGGACGTGACTGGGCAAGTGCGTCCTCTTGTGGGCTCCCTACAGACGGGGTCCGAGCAGATGGTGACGGAGGATCAACTGCATCGCCGACGCATCGGCTATGCGGCGCGATGCTGAGCCAGATTTTCTCCACGCCGACATCGTCGATGCATCGCCGACGCGCCGACACATCGACGATGCATGGGCGATGCGGTGCGATCCTTCGTCCTACATACTCGGGCTCTACTCGGGCTCCCTTTGAGAGGCCTCTGGGGCACTCTTGGGCGGTCTCGGGAGGCTTGGAGCGGGCGTGTAGCCCCAGGAAGGCTTCCCCAAGCCATGCGATTTCAGTCCAGAGGCATAGGGACGACATGCTTCAAGGGAGTCCCAGGATGAGGAGGAGGGGGAGGACGACGACGACGCTCCTCGAGGCCCTCTTGGGCTCTCTTGGGAACCTCTCATGGGGCTCGTTGTAGCATCGTTGGCACTTGCCTGCGTGCTCTCACGAGAGGCGAACATATCCGTATCCGCGCCCTCGCGGTTCTGGATTCCGGGGCACGATCTTGCGGATGCGCGGTCGTAATGGTGCGTTCCGCGCGGGGCATTTGCGAAACAACGCCCCATATCTGCGGGGTCGCGGCCCAGGGACCCGGCCCTCGAGGCCTCGGATACGGATATGTGTTCCGCACACGGTGTTCAGGTCAGCATTATTGGTCCTTCTCTGTGTATGTTGTTTTCTTTTATGCATTATCTCTCTCTCTCTTGTTCCCTCTCTCTCTCTCTCGCTTTCTGTATGTGTATGTGTATGGACACACCTACACATAAATACACATATATATATATATATATGTATATATATAAACACAGACACACATACACATATATATATATACACACATATAATCGGAATAGGCCGCAGGCGGGCCCAGGACCGCGGCGACGGTGACGCATGGGGGCTCGGGAGCCCTGCGAGCGCCCTCGTGGCCTCCACAGTGGCCCCGTGGGCGCACAGGTAGCCCAAAGTTCGGTACGACAGTTTGCCAGACCAGTCCATCGCACCCCGAGGGCGCCGAGGATGCCTTGTGAACGGCCTCCGAAGGCTTCTGGCGACGCCAGGACGGCCCCGGGCAGGCTTCAGTGGGCGCCCGAGGCCCCAGACGAGTGCCCCTGGAGGCAAAGTCGGTGATGTCGTGTAGGTTGTTCCCAACCATCTTGTGCTGGGCCCTCGTCTTGAAGAGACGGTGCCCCGCGTCTCACCTCCTCACTCCCTCCCAGTCCTCCCTCCTCCCATCCCTGCCTCTTCTCTCCGCACGTCCAGTTCAGCCCCCCCCCCCGCACAGATCGTGGCCCCATAGGGAGCTCCACCGAAGGTCCCAGTGGCGCCGCCCGCATGCGTCCCCCAGTGGCGGAACTCGCATGCGGTTCCTGCGCCCAATACAACGTTTCGTGGCCCCAGAGGGTGCTCGTCGCAGTGGCGGAACTCGCATGCAATTCCCCTGCCTAGTACAACGTTTCGTGGCCCCATAGGGGGCTCCACGGAAGACGATGCCCACAATTGCGGTATTCACATCTGCATATGGTTAGGTTCTTCGCCAGACGATTTTTTCCCATATCCACGGCGCCTCTGGTGCCAGAGGAATAGAGCCCGAATTTCCAAGACGCAGAAGATATGGATACAAATCTTGCCCGCAGGGTGAACGAGGAGGAGAGAGACGCACATTCCGATGCAACCCCTGGAAGCCTCGTGGGAGATCAGGGGGTTCAATTCAGGCACAAGGATTCTGGACTCACGCTGTAGCGCGCGAGGCTGAGCGGAGCGAGGCTCTTGGAATACCACCACATCCTGGCAGTCGCAGTCCAGCGCCACGCAGCCGTTCAAATCTGGAGAAAAGTTAGAGAGAGAGATCAAAAGAGAGTGAGAGAGATAAATGCAGAGGCACAACACTATTGCAGAGGGATCGGGAGACACACACACACATACATCCACACACATGTACACATATAGATACATGAATACTAGAACCGCGCGCGCGATTCTCGCGCGCGTATGTTCTAGTCAGTCCCAGCCCTTGGTAAGGTCACATCGCCACTGAAGTAATTACCCACACATGGTTTCAACGTGTGCCGTCATGCATCTACAATGCGGGCACAGCAACTACCAATTGCCGAGAAGGACATCTGCATAATATTCCATGTGAGGCTATGCACACCATGCGACAAAAACGGCAACGCAGTGCAATACATTGCCATATAATCAAACCAGATGCTGGTCCAATGCGGCCCGAAGCATTACAAGTGCAAGTTAGCAAAGCAATTGCACCCAACTACAATGCAATGCAATTCAACGCAAAGTCGAGCAATACTCACCAGTGCAACGTGGATCAGGAAGCAATGTAATTGCACATGAAACGGAAAGTAACCCAGCGGAATACCATGCAATACAATACACAGTAATGCAACATATTGACCATGACTCCATGATCTCATAGGTCCCATGGACGAGCCGCCCTTGACAGCGCCCAAGAGCACCCGAGGGGAGCACAAGACAGGGCCAAAGGGCGCCCAAGAACAGCCAATGAGTTCCCCGAGAGAGGCTCCAAGGGGGGGCCCAAGCATGGCCCAAGAAGCTCCAATCAGGCTCCAGAACGGGGCACAGGATGGACCCCAAGAACGCCAGAAGGATGGCGTCAGAAAGAGAGGGCCCAAGGAAACGCCCCCTCAGCCCTAAACGCAAGCCGCGAGGGCTCACGAGCAGCCCCAACAGTGGCGTCAAGGGTGCCGCAAGGTGATCCCGAAGTAGGCTCCAAGGGGCCCCTTATTGGCCTGGCAGGGGTGGATCCTGGCGCGCGCGGCACCAGGCTCATACTGAAACGCTCGCGGCGAAACAGCCGAAATTGGTGGCGGGGACGCATGCTGGCGGCGCCACTGGGGCCTTCGGTGGAGCTCCCTATAAGGCCACGGCACGTGTGAAGGGTGTGCCGACATACGTGGCGGGGACACATGCGGGCGGCGCCACTGGGACCTTCGGTGGAGCCCACGAAACGTGTGAGGGGTGTGCCATGTGATCTACGCCACTGGGATCTTCGGTGATGCTCCCTATGGGGCCACGAAGCGCAGTACTGGGCGCAGGAACCGCATGCGAGTTCCGCCCCTGGGAACTTCGGTGGAGCCCCCTACGGGGCCACGAACGCTGTACTGGGCGCAGGAACCGCATGCGAACTGCGCCACTGGGACATTCGGTGGAGCTCCCTATGGGGCCACGGAGCGCTGTAATGGGCGCAGGAGCCGCATGCGAACTGCGCCACTGGGACTTCGGTGGAGCTCCCTATGGGACCACGAAGCGCTGTACTGGGCGCAGGAGCCGCATGCGAACTGCCCCGCTGGGACCTTTGGTGGAGCTCCCTATGGGGCCACGGAGCGCTGTAATGGGCGCAGGAGCCGCATGCGAACTGTGCCACTGGGACCTTCGGTAGAGATCCCTATGGGGCCAAGAAGCGTTGAACTGGGCGGGAGAGAAGCATGCGAACTGCGGAGGAGGGATGAGCTGGAGGAGGGGGAGGAGGAGGAGAGCAGAGGAGAGGAAGGCAGTGCACTGTCTCTGCGAAGCGAGGACCCACCACCACAGGATGGCTGGGAAACCAGTTCGCCCCCGGAGGTCATATCTTTATCCATACCCTGTGCGCCGCGGCCTGCTGGCGCCCCTTCCCTGAAAGTCCAAGACGCAGTGGACATGGACATCTACCATGCCCGCACATCCTGCTCTCCCTTGTACTCTTGGCACCTGGCTCTCTCTCTCTCGCTCTCTTAGTCGTTCCCTCTCCCTCTCTGTTTCTTGTCAGGGTTCGCAGATTTTGTCTCGCTCACACGCTGATTCCTCGCCGGCCGTGGCTCCGTAATGCTGACCTGCCGCTCGTCGCCCTGCGAGCCAAAGCAGGTATTCAAGGGGCCACGCACCAAGTACTGCAAGAACACGGGTGCATGCGTGGAGAGGGGAGCAGGGGGGTGTTCCATATTTGCATTGACTACAATATGCTCCACATGCGTGTTGACGTCGCCCAGTTGCTTCTGCCGCCTCCGGCCAACCCTCGGGACGAACACTCGACCGCTTCAGAAAGTGACCTCCAGATGTTTAGGATGTTGGCTGGTTGGCAGCCATGCGTCCTTCAAACATGTTGTAGCACGTTTTCCACCTGGACATCTTAAGAAACCAGCGACACACCGACCCAAGACAGAACTGGCAGCCAGCGCGCAGCGCGAATGGCCAGCTCTGTATTATACTATGCATCACGTGTCGCATCGAAGATCCGGGCTTGCCCTCTCACGCGCAACATTACCATTATGTATTGGTTCAGTGTATATAGTCAGCGCTCACCTGCCTGAGTGCCCGAGTCCCATGTAGATTGTCACTACGCGTCCAGATACGGCTCGCATACGCATATTGTTTGAGATCAGATGCGACTTCACGCTTGTAGCGCCACGCGTCCGAAACATAGGTATTCGTTTTCACGCGTCGCGGACTCAGTGTTTTGCAACAGCTCACCCTGTTTTTGACAAGTGTGTTGCATGGCTGTTTCGCAACAGACCTTATCACACTCGCGGTGTTATTGTATGGGCGTGTTCGTGCTTTGAATGTCTGCGAGGCGGAGTGTAATGAAATGTTGACTGTTGAGATGCGTTGGGGGGCAATTCGATGCATTGCAATTTGATGCGCTGTGTTGAATGGCGATGCATTGCACCGAAACGCACTTACAACTACATGGACTGCGATATGGTATAATGAGGTGAAGGTGGCGTGGTATGAGTTGTTTTGGAACGGGGGTACTGCGATGCTCACCACGGAACAACCGATTAGCGAGCGTCTTGTCACGTGAGCGAGGCTCCATCACAACGTCGCGCGTTACAATGATGGTGTGTGTTCTCCTGCGTTGCAGCGCAGTGCTTCTAATGCTATATCGTATATTCGCCAGCGTGGACCCCAACCACTGATTTCCAGCACATGTGTTATGCAATGTATGTGGTTCAATATAGTGATGCGCAGTATTTGTGGTGCGATCGACGTGGTGCAATCAATATGTATGGTGCAAACTACGTGGTACAATCGAGTTGGTGCAGCATGTGGTTTGCTATGTATGCCGTGGGTACACTACGTTATGCTACCCAGGTAGTGTCATTTGTGCTGTGCAGTATTAGGTGGTGCCAATATGTGATACAGTCTATATGTTGTCATCTATTTTGTGCAATCGGGTTCTATGTGGTGCAGTTTACGTAGCTCAATATATGTGGTGCATTTTACCTTGCCGACCTTGAAGTTCTCAATTCCACGGTTCGCGCAGTCATGCCACCCACCCGCCCGCAATCTGGCCTGCACAACCCATGCGGCGGCTGTTGCGATATTGCTTGGCGCTGGCTGGCCCATCGTTGCGGCCGCGCTAGCGCGCGCAGGCTCGCTCGCAGAGCGACCAGCTAGTCCGGCGCGACCGACACGACCGCGGTGACATTGATCGTTGGGGACTGTCCAGCGCGTCTCGCAGGCAGCGGTGGCGCGGGCATTTCTGTGCGATTCGATGTCTCGGGCGGGCTCGGTGTCATGGCGACGTCGACAACGGCAGACACGATGATAGTGACGACGATGACGATGAAGACGCGCTGGCCAATGAGTGCGCATCTTGACCACGCCAGAGACGATGATGATGGCCACATGTCGGCGGTGAAGGTTTCTGAAGGATTTCGGCCTGCGCGCGTGGCCGACGGGCGCGAGAGATCCGCATGGCATTATCTGACAGCGATCGCCTCTCCCCCGCTCGCCCCCTCCCCCCCCTTCCCCGCACGCGCGCGCGTGGCGTTCGAATGGTTCTGGCAGGCACGGGCGAACAGTCTCTTTTGGCCGCATGCGGTTAAAATTTGGAAGCGCGATTGTTTCCTTCCAAATCAGCAGAAGCGGGCGGGCTGTTTTCGTTGCGAATGCATGTGCTATTTTGTCCCATGTTGTCGTGGGCCTCGATCTTGGAACCCGTGCGAAACCGAACGTTTTTGAAGGATTCCGCATTTGGGTATGCGCGCAACACGGCGCGCTCGTGTTGATTTTGCCACATGTCAAGCAAAAGATTTTTGCAAATAGCTGATGATATAGTTAATTGACGATGATGAACAGGCGTGCGGGCATATGATTATTTGGCGGGGCTGACCAGGCAGGGGGGGTCGAACCGGGTCTGGTTGGGATGGTATTTCTTTCAGATTTAGAATGAATTGTGGGCGGAATCGTACGTAATTTGAGGGAGCAGGTGAAGAAGTGGTGGTGATGATACATCCGACTTCCTTTGTAATAAAGAATCGATCCATTTGGTGCGCAATGTTTGTGGTTCGGTCTGTCGGGTACGATTCATATTGTGCAACCTATGAGAAATTTTCCTGGCGAAGGACCCAACCATATGCAGTTTTGGGTACCGCAATTGTGAATACCTTCGTCGGTGAAACTCCCTATGGGGCCACAAATCGCTGCACTGGATGGGGGGGAACGCATGCGGGCGTACCGCTGGGGCCGTCGGTGGAGCTCCCCATGGGGCCACGAAGCGCTGTACTGGGTGGTTGAAAATGCAAAATTGGGTGTCCGGGGCGCAAGCGGACGATCCCATTGGGGGGCTTCGGTGGAGCTCCTAATGAGACCACACAACGTTATACTGGGTGGGTGAAAATGCCAGATTGGGTGTGCGGGACGCATGCCGACGGTCCCACTTGGGGCTTCGGTGGAGTTTCCTATGGGGCTACGAAGCGCTGCGCTGGGTGGGGGGAACGCATGCGGGCGGTAGCATTGGGGCCGTCGGTGGAGCTCCCCATGGGGCCACGAAGCGTTGCACTGGGTGAGTGAAAATGCCACATGGGGCTTCCAGGACGCATGCGGACGGACCCACTGGGGGCTTCGGTGGAAGTCCCGATGGGGCCACGCAGCGTTATACAGGGTGGGCGAACAGGCCAAATTGGATGTGCGGGACGCATGCGGACGGTCCCATTGGGGGCTTCGGTGGAGTTTCCTATGGGGCCACGTAACGCTGTAATGGGTGGGTGAAAATGCCAAATTGGGTGTGTGGGACGCATGTGGGCGGTCCCTCTGGGGGCTTCGGTGCAGCTCCCTATCGGGGCTACGAAGCGCTGTACTGGGTGGGTGAAGATGTAAAATTGCGTGTGCAGGACGCATGTGGGCGGTCCCACTGGGGGCTTCGGTGGAGCTCCCGATGGGGCCACGAAGCGTTATACCGGGTGGGCGAAAATGCCAAATTGGGTGTGCGGGACGCATGTTGACGGTCCCGTTGTATTGGGTTTGGCGGACGCATGTGGCCACCCTTACTGGGGCCTCCGATGGAGTTCCCTATTGGGCCACCAAACGCTGTACTGGGTGTGGCGGACGCATGTGGCCACCCTTACTGGGGCCTTCTGTGGGGCCCCGTTCTGGGGCCACGAAACGCCGTAGTGGGTATGGCAGACGCATGTGGCCCCCACAGGGGCCTTCAGTGGAGCTCCCTATGGGGCCACGAAGCGCTGTACTTGATGTGGCGGACGCATGTGGCCACCCCCGCTGGACCCTTCGGTGGAGCTCCCTATGGGGCCACGAACGCTGTACTGGATGTGGCGGACGCATGTGGCCACCCCCATTGAGGCCTTCGGTGGAGCTCCCTATGGGGCCACGAAACGCCGTAGTGGGTGTGGCGGACGCATGTGGTACACCCCAGTGGGGGGGGGGGGGGGCACGGGAGGAGGAGGAGACGCGGGGACCGTTTCTTCAAAACGAGGGCCCAACACCACAGGATGGTTGGGAAAACCGACATGGTGTATTTTCTGTTGTGCAGTTTTTGTGGTGCATTCCATGTGGTGCGATCTATGTGGCCCAATGTAGATGTTGCAATGTAAGTGGTGCAGCTTATATATATATATATACATGTATATACATCTACATATATATACACATATATATACGTATGGATATACATATATGTATGCGTGGTGCACTCAAGATGCTGCGGAATCCATGCGTTCATCGTGGTGCAGCTTTTGTGTTGCAGTCTATGTTGCGCATTCTTGTAGGCGGAGATACCGGTGCGGAACATTCAACGCGTTCCATTTCTTGAAGCCAAATTCATGTTGTGCAATCGATGTTGTGCAATCTTTGTGGGGCCAACCATGTGGCGCAATCTATGTGGTGCAGTCTAGGCAGTGCAGTCTACGATGCGCAACCTATGTTGTGAAATCTGTGTGGTGAAATCTGTGAAATCTACATTCTGCAATCTAGGCGGCGACTGGGTGGCAGGGGCGGCCGCGGGGCGGCGCCTGCGACAGCATAGCCACCAGACCGACGCCCAGGCCCAGACGCCGGGCGGCGACGGGGCGGCGACGTGGCGGCGACGGCGACAACCTAGCCGGGGGCCGACGCCCAGGCCCAGTTTCTGTAGGGGGGAAGTGTTTGGGGAGCTCCGCGGCGGGACCAGGGAGCGCCGAGGAAGATGACGGCGGGAGTTGGAGCAGCGGTAGGAGGTACAGTTGAGGCTGACTGGTAGGTCGACCTTGCCAAAGCAAGGGTAACTTGGTGTCCTGCGCTTCTGAATGCCCTCGGCATTCCTCTGGGACTGTGGCCCACGGAAGGGTCTTGTGTCCTCTCCAATCAACCCCGACTGTAGACAAGGAGCAGTCAGGACAAGAAAGGGTTAACCATGCGAAGCCCGTGATCATTCCAAGCACATTGGTCTCATAGTCCGTGGACGAGCGGGGGTAATTTTCCAGCCAGGCGCGGCGTCACTTGACAATGCCATGTGTCTGTGGTGTTGTTTTTGTCGCATTGCGCGGAGGTCCGCGTGTGTCTTTGCGTGCGCATTGTTGGGCTACGCTTGCATATCAACACCTAGATCTGTCATGGTGGCCGTTTTTACCATATCCGTGCAAAGCTGTGCAGTGCGACAGCGTGTCGAGCGGGTTACCCCCGATTCTTCTCAATTGCGTTGTAGGGTAAGTGGCAAGTCAAGTGGCAAGCCAAGTGTAGCAGACACGGTGCTGGTGGAATTCTAGCAACGAGCGCTCACTAGCCATGTGGGTGGTGGGCGCATGCAAGAAGAGGGGAGGATGAATTCGACCATTGGTGCGTCTGGTTGAACAACTCCGTTGGCCGCGGTAACCACAGGATCCATTGTTGTGGCCTGCTTTCTTCCATCGGGCGCTTAGCTTGCAGTGCCAGTGCTTGACCTGCTCCAATAGTGCGTTGCTGTGCCGTTAGTGGTTATCATCGTCGCGCGCCGCCCTTCCACCGGTTGCATCACAAACTCTTCGGGTGCCCTAATGTTCGTGGTACGCAGACTGGCTGATGTGATCCTTGGTTCATGTGACAAGCGACCTTGGCGTTTGTTTCCCACGGTCTATTTTTGACCGTGGGCCCTTGACAGGCTGAAACCGCAACAATAACATAAAATCGCTTCGGATCTTTAGCGCTGTAAGAACTGTTTGGGGAGGGATCTTCTGGTTCGTCGTAACATCCACAAATCTGGCGGGGGCTGACACTAGTTTCCGCGCTTCGAGCTGACAGGATAGAACACAAGACGCTCCCACACCGGTCCGGCACCGCTTCGAAACAAGCATTTGGAGCCCACAGCCCGTGAGCGGCGGGCTCCGACGATGGAAAACAGCAGGCCTGGAACCGGTAAGCAAGCGAGTCGTTGCTTCTGTTGTGCTGAGACCTGCAGGCGCTAGCATCCGGAAGCGTGTCAAGCACTCCAGTGCGTATGCAAGACGAGGCCACATGTTCTGCACTCCGCTTCACTGTGCGTACTCGCTATCGTTTTGTCTTATGATGGCCTCAGCGCAACGAAGCCGTTGGCCAGTCTCGCGTGGTCACGCTTCGCTTGCAGGCCGTTCGTGTGCCTGGCCGCTGTGGAGGTCCGCAGCTCTTCTCTTCTTTGCATCTTGCTTCTGTCGGAGGAGGGCTAGTCGAGACAAGGGTTTTGTTGGGCGATGATGGAGGCGATGTTTGCAGATTGCGTCTTTCCGGGCGATGTGGTTTTTTTGGGGGCATGTTGGAGGCTCATCGTCGCCACGGTTGGGTCCCCTTGGAACAAGAAACGGGTCAGGATGGGCCCTGTGAGGGCCGCCGTTGTCTCAAGTGGGCCTCCTCCGATGAACCAACTTAGCGCGTTTTCTTTATTTGATGCGTTGGTCCGCCGGTTCCTTCTGTCACAGGACGAGCGCGTCCATTCTCCTGCAGTGGTGCGCAGCAGAAGGATGTTTCCGACGCGAGTGGCGAGTGGCATCGCGTTTGCAATCGAATTGTGGCGGCGAACCCACTTGCGCCGCCGCGCGATTCCGCCACCGCGCTCGGGCGGGCCGGGGAGGGGCGCCTCGGGGGGGAGGGTGGAGGGGCCACGGACCCCCCCGCCTGAATTTAGTTTCTGGGGTCAGCTGTTGTTTTGAAGGCTAAAGGCGCAGGGACTTGGCTAAGAGAATGAACGCATCGTTGGCTCGATGCGTCGATCTACTACATAACCGTGCATGCCTGGAACAAGGTCAGCCGATACCATTGTGCATTTGCTACTGGCGTGGCTGCAGTCGGGCTGGCCCTCCTCGCGAACAGCATGCTGGCAAGCGGCGTCCAGAGAGCCCTTGGGAGCATTCGGACATGCAGGAACTGGTCTCGAGCATTTGGCACATACGAACTTGATGGATCCCGTTCTCGTGCTGACGTCGCGCAGACGAGGGCATCATTGTCCTCGATGCCTGGGCTGGCAGGGGAGCCTGCAGTTAGGTGAATGATTTGGTAGTGGAAATTGGGACCATGCGGGGCATGGTTAGTGGTAGTCGGGGCGTGGATCGCTCTACCTGGCGCCAGAAAATTGGGCGCTGGAACCACCATCCCCCGTACAAATGGCGCACTGGAACCGACGCCGTGGGGCGCTGGAACCACCGTCCCACGTAAACATTGGGCGGTGGAACCTATATGCCTTCAAGGCATGAGGCGCTGGAACCACCATCCCTCGGAAAATTTGGCGGCTGGAACCACACCCCGTTTAGGGTTATACAAATATAAGCAAGGTGGGGGAGGGACAGGCACGGGCCTGGGGGCCCGTCCCCCCAGGCCCCCGGACGGCCCGTGGGCGGGGGACCTAGCATTGTAGTCACGCCTTGCTCCCAAACGGGGCCAGTTCGCACGCGCTGGTGCGCGTGCGGTGTCTCAGTCGGTCGGTCGGGTCGTCGGTCATCGATCCGTGGGTCGGTCGTCGTCGTTCGTCGTCTCGGTCGGTCGGTCGGTCGGTCGGTCGGTCGGTCGTCGGTCGGTCGGTCGTCGTCGTTCCTCGTCGTCGTCGCCTCGGTCAGTCAGTAGGTCGGTCGGTCAGTCGGTCGGTCCGGGCTTCAGTCGTCGGTCGGTCGGTCGTTCGGTCCATCGGTCGTCTTCGTTCGTCGTCGTTCGTCGTGGTCTTTGTCGGTCGGTCGTCGGTCGGTCGGTCGGTCCTGTCGTCGGTCGTCGGTCGGTCGGTCCGTCGGTCGTGGTCGTCGGTCGTCGTCGTCTCGGTCGGTCGGTCGGTCGGTCGGTCGGTCGTCGTCTCGGTCGGTCGGTCGGTCGGTCGGTCACTCGGTCGGTCGGTCGTCGTCGGTCCTCGGTCCTTGGTCGGTCGGTCCGTCGGTCGTCGTCGTCGGTGTCGGAGTCGTCGGAGTCGTCATCGTCGTCCTCGTCGTCGGAGTCGGAGTCGGAGTGGGAGTCGTCCGAGTCGTCGGAGTCGTCGTCGTCGTCGTCGTCGTCGTCGTCGTCGTCGGTGTCGGAGTCGTCGGGGTCGTCGGAGTCGTCACCGTCGTTATCGTCGTCGTCCACGTCGTCGTCGTCGGTGTCGGAGTCGTCGGAGTCGTCGTCGTCGCCGGAGTCGTCGTCGCCGTCGTCGTCGTGTGAATGCGTGCCATATTTTTACCGACAGGTTTAGCTAGTGGACGTTGATCTTTGATTTACGGTAGTGTGTGTACTATCGTTTGTATTGTTGCATACGCAGGACAGTGTGAGTGCACCGTGGTTCGCACGTTGGCTCAAGTCTAAAAACCTTTGACTGCCGCTGCTGCTGCCACAGTTGGTAGCGGAGCGGTAGAAGCCTCGGGACCAGGGGTTCCCTGACTGCGCGCCGGCATGGCGAGCAGCACGGGAGCTCGGCGGCTCTGAGGCGACCTCCGCGCCGAGCAGGCCGACTGGCGTGGTTCCACGGCATGACAGGGGACGAGGACAAGAGCGGCGAGGGGTTCGCCGGGGCGGTGATCACTGGGCCAGAGGGACAGCCGAGTGCAGCCACCGCGGGTTTGACGACCGAGCAGCTGAAGGAGATGATCGCCGGAGTAGTCAGGGAGACTATGCAGTCGGCGACCGCTTCGAGGGCAGCCGCGTCAAGCCAACCAGGGGAAGGAACTTGGGATCCTTGGTCAGCAGCAGCGGGCAACATCAAGAAGGATCCCAACAACAAGAACGAGAAGGACGGCAACACGAAGGACAACGAGCTCGACCAGGATCAGGTCAACACGGACCGGTGGTGGCAGCACCACTGGGCCAGCGAGAGCTGGAGCCGCGACGACAGCTGGGGCTGGAACAACTCCTGGGGCTCATCAGGCAGGGGAGACTTCTCCGACCCGCCAGCGTGGCCAGGCTGGAGTCACTACCGGCAGTGGCGCAAAGCTCTGACGCGCTGGGATACGAACACAGACGTACAAGTGTGGCGCAGAGCAGAGAAGTTTCTCAAGCTATTCGATTGGGGAATGCAAGCCAAGTTCGAGGATATCCCAGAGGCCACCCTCAGCAGCAACAAGTGGCTTGAGACGGTGTTTGGTCGCATGGATATGATGATTGGAGAGCGAGAAGGAGACCATCTCCGCCGCACAGGACGCAAAGCACTGTTCGAAGCTAGTCGTGATCCAAAAAAAACTCTCATCCAGTTCGTCAGTCGAAGGGAGGCTCAACTTCAAGAAGCCGAGGGTCACGACATGTGGTTATCATCGAAGCTGAAGGGACTACTACTCGAGGAAGGGGCTGGGCTCACGCCTCAAGGCCTCCAAAACTTGCGCACTCTCACGCGGGGACAGCTCGACTATGAGAGTGTTTCGTGGGCGCTGAGGCAGATGGACTCCACTGGCACTGAGCGCCTGTTGCCTGGCCGAGCCTCTCTCGGCACAATGCACGTTGCTGGCAGCACTGAGGACGAAGAGCCCAGTGCCGACGGCATGCATAAGCATCAGCCCTACTCCTCCACTCCCTCCGGTGGTTTCAACGGTGCTGCCGACGAGGACTTGGAGGATCTCGATGAAGAGACTGACGACGAGGAAGAAGAATCTGATCAGATGGATGAGGCAGCTATCATGGCAGAACTGGAGGACCTCGACCTCTACGAGGATCAGGTCGACGAGGCGCTAGCAGCTATCGCCACGCGCCCAGTCAACAGGACCTGGAAGCAGAACAAAGACATCAAGCGTGCAGCGAAGAAGGACCGCGAATACTTTGGAGGTCGTGCTCGAGCATCGGAGGCTAACATCCCGCCACCACCTCGGCTCTCACCTCAGGCCCGTCGAGACGATCGCGGGCGAGGACGCGGGGGCCGGGGCAGAGGGCGTGACCGGGACCAGAGGCCAAGGAGGTTTCCCAAGCTGACCCTGGAGCAGCGCATGAAGGCCACCAAGTGCAAACTTTGCCACCAGAAGGGCCACTGGGCTCGAGAATGTCCCACCAACAATGGCGGCGGCAGGACAGACAGGCAGAAGCTCTCGGCCTACACCTTCACCGGAGGAGTGTTTCTCGAGGGCAGGTCGGTCACCCAGGAGGCGATCGAGGACTGGGAGGAGATCGAGGAAGAGCTCACCCAGGACGATGCCTTCATTGTCACGCGTCCGGTGCAGGGCCTGGTCGACCCCGGGGCGGGCAGCGACCTGGCGGGGGTGAATGCTCTCAACTGGGAAGCTCGTGCCCTAGCAGAGGTCGGGCTCAGGTACGTGGAGGTGCCAGCCGACCTCCGTCGACCGCGTGCCGCCCACGGAGTTGGGGGAGCTGCAAGGGTAGTGAGCGCCGTTATGTTTCCCATCTGTGTGGCAGGAGTGCTTGGGATCGTCGAGACAACAGTGCTCGCCGAAGAAGTTCCACATATTCTCAGCGTGAATCTTCTGGACTTTTTGTGCTGCGTGATAGATTTGCCGAGCAATGCCATGCAGTCGTCTCGGTTGGGCGCAGAGATCCCGATGGCGAAGCTGGGGTCCGGCCACAGGATGGTAGACATTATCCAGAAGTTGCCAGATTCAGTGGTGCCCCTGTCCGCCCTCGAGAGTTTTCCGCATCTGAGTCCAGATGCTTCTCAAAACAAGAAGGGACCTGTACAAGAGATGTCTGCCAAGGGGCAGATCAAGAGTTTCATGGTCACCTCCCTCATCCTAGCTCTTATCACGATCAGCATCATCCAGGCCCTAAGGGGCCACAACAACACCATCAAGTGCAAGAACAGGTCCGAGAGGGCCATGCACAAGCGGATCAACAGCAACGGGCATCTCGGAAAGATCAGGCAGGGCATCGTCATAGGGGCCCTGATCGGCCTCATCGGGAAGTGCGAGTCTGGGGCTCAGCAGGCCTCGATCGCTAGATCGCATCAGTCAACTAAGGACATCGTCAGGCCCCACAAGAGACCAAGGACCAACCGGGGGGCTAGGAGCAGTCAGCAGAACCAATGCAACAACAGCAGCAGAGTCTTGTGGCTGGTAGCATCTGTAGCCACTCTTGGCTCGAGCCTTTTCAACTCTCAGCGATCTCCGAGGCGTGCCACGCACCGAGTGGCAAGGCAATTCACATTCTGCGACAATCGAGACGATGAACCAAGTTGTTGCTGCAGTGATGCTGGCTGTTGTTATGACAGCAGAGGCGGGTCCCAAGAAGAAGC